GCGTCGCTGGGACCGAAGACTCGCGGCGCCACGGACGCTTGATTGAAGTCGCGCCGTGGCGTGCTTTAAAAGTATATAGTGTTGTGAATTGTGTTTTGTATGAATGAATGAATGGATGCGTTTGTAAATATAATTATTAATGAATGAATCGAATGAGAAAAAAAAATTAAAAGAAGAAAATTGAACAATTTCAAGATCTCCCAGTTAAAGATTTAATAAAAAAAGCCTAAAAACTAACAAACCCCAAAGTGGGAATGTGTATAGTTATAGTTATAGATAGTTTTAGTTTGTAAGCAATTAAGCCTTCCCTAACTGCACAAGCCAAATCGGCTGCAGTTATTCATAATGTACCCCAAAGATAAATAAATTCCTGCCTCTCCAGGGAAAACTGGAGGGGGGAAAACTGAAAAAAAAAAAAAAAAAAAAGCGGAGCGTCAGTCAACGCGGCGCTGCCAACAAGGACACTTCGCCCCGCCAGCAACGCCACTGAGGATGCCTGCCACAGCTGCAGGCGAAACGATGACAAGTCTCCATTGGACCACGGCCTTCAAGCCCGGAAACAACTGATTTTGATATTAGTTTTCCTTTATTAATAATTCACCGCTCGGGCCCGGCATGCATTTTGTATATAGTATAGTAGTTTTATAATTGTTTTGTTTTTCATTTTCTGTCTTAGACCGTGAGTTTTATTTCATTATTTCCAAGAGGCATTATCACTTGCTTTTCATCATCATTCATTAAATTAATATTTTAGCCAACATCGCTCCTTCATTTATCATTCGGCCGATCCTATTATTTCCTCTTACGAGGTGGTCATCCAGCCCTTTATTTTAGTAGCCCTCTGGCTACATCGTTAAGCTACCGGAGGCCGTTATGTGTGCCGTGTGTGTGCTGTGCGCGCATATAGCCAACAGTAGAGTCCACGCCGTTGGCTCATCGTCGTGCGTGGCACTGTGTGACAGGTGGGTACGAGGAGAGTACCGTGTCTGCTCGCGCTCGCACGACATGGATTCGCGGTGCGCACACATTCTGTTTTTTAGGTGACAATGAATTACACGACATGCAGTGATTAAGTTTCGGTTTGCGTAAAAGACCGGGTGGCGTGTATCATCTGCAAAGAGAGCTGTGTTAAGTGTACTACTGGTAGGAATATTTGTGACGTAATAATTAAATAAGAACGGAGATAATGGGTACCCTTGTGGATCACCACCAAGAACAGCCCGAGGTGAAGAAATGAAAGAGTTAAGACGTAAAGAGAAGATGCAGAAATCTTGATATAATGTTGTAGATATATAATGGTATTACTATTTTCCTTAATTTGAATTTTAATCCATAATGCCACTTTCGATCGAACGCCTGGGTGATGTCTAAGAAAACTGTAGGAGAAAACAAGATTGGAATGAAAAATGAATTTGTTCTGTTAATCTAAATAACTGATGAGTTGTTGAGTAGTTTTCTCTGAAGCCTAATTGGAAAGAAGGAAACACGTTTTATCAAGAATGATTTTTTGAGGCTTCTTAATAGGTATAATTACAGGGTGTTTCTAAGATTAGGATAGTAATATCCTAGTCGTAATGCTGAGTTAAATATATTGTTTAGGTTAACAAGACCATGTCTGGGCAAATTCTTTAAGATGTTTGCAATAATTCTGTCATGGCCTCGTGATTTTTTGTTTGTTATTTTTTTATTAGTTCTAATATTTTGTTGGGTGACATAAAAGAAATTCGATTTGATACATCAAAATTTAGTGTCTTCACAAAATGTGTTATTGTACGATGTTCTCTATCGTTTACAGCATGCTGGGTGAAAATAGTTTCAAAATAATCTGCTAACAGCTCAGCTTTTTTCAGAAATCGACTGTGCAATTTTATTGTCATTTTTTGATGGTGGAATATTGATTGACTGACCTAGCAATAGAAGTGTTGCTTTCAAAAAGATGAGTCTTGTGAATTACGATTTGAAACACGCTTTTTGTAACTTTCCAATTGGAACGTTGTAAGAGCATTTCGTACCAATTTAGTTAAATGATTTCAAATGAGGTAGATGATAATTTGTCCATAAAAGTCTGATTTTGTTCTTTTGTAATATTAAATTACGTAATTGCTCAGGTAACGGATATTTTGAGACCCCTCTGCGAGTATCAGCGAATGAGATGAATACACAATGTGATGTGATGGCATTAGTAAACAAAGTGTGTCTTGGTCGATTTCTGCTAGAATTCTTAGATTCAACGAAGGAGGAAGAAGCGTTGATAACAGATTTTAAATGTATGCCACTTAATTTTGTAAGTACATAAATGCAGTATGGAATTAGGTAAAGAATCGATTAATTTTAAGGTTGTAATCACTGGGTTATGATCCGAATCTACTTCGCAGATAGAATACGAATGGAGTGCAAAATTTAAATTTATCACAGTATCTAGAATATCTGGAAGGTAATTCGCATTAAAAGTATATAGTATCAATGGGCGCAATAATCTTGAAATATCACTGCTTTGAGAGATATAAGAGAAAAGTTCCGGCTGGTTGATTCATTCTATATCCCCATGAAGTGTATTTTGTGTTTAGATTGCCAAGTAAGATAATAGGAGCCTTTAGTTTGAAAAGTCTTAAAGACGTGTTGCAGTCAATTGTTTATTAGGTGGCTTATATGCTGAAATTATAAATACATTATTACCGTTCAGAAGGTTGATAATTACTGCTATTGTTTCTGGCCATGGTGTTATTGGGAGAAATTATGTCGTGTGGAATGCCGGATTTCATTAGAATTAATACTTCGCTTGCTGGAACTTTTGTTAAAAATTTTTTTCTGCTCCTCAAGTTTCTCTCTATTGTTTGTATTTTCTTTCCCCATGCGCTTTCCGGTAGGCGTCTGTGACCGTGGTTATGTCAGGCCGAGAAACATCCCTTCGACGGCTTCGCCTCGTTACCGATGTCATTGAACTCTCATCATGTGCTGTGTGGAAGATGCGACTGTGATGCGACGCTGGCTGTCGCACCTCGGACTTCTCATTGGCGCTCTGATTCCCCCCTTCCAAAGCTTCGCCATTGCCTCCTTTGAGCACCTCTCTTCTTTCAGTAGGACTGGGAACCCCAGTGGGCAGGTGCTAACGACTTAGGACTCCAAAGTGGTTTAGGGGGAGGGGGAATATTGACCACACTATTACACACACACATGGGTACTCATGTTTGCCAACTGTACTGTTGTATTGTCCTGATCCTGTACGTGATGTCAGTATTGACCGCACGCGGCGGATAGTTCCTTGTTGCCAGATTTTTCTCGCTTTCTGTCAATTGTTGCAAAAGTTCTGAGATTTTCTTGAAACTGGTTTATAGAGAATAATATATCGTCCACAAACAAAAATCATTATTTGGAAACTAACATGATAATTAGAAGCCAACAATTTTCGTGTAAAAAGCTGCGACATGGCAACCACAAGGTTTTTAAGAGATACGCGAGGCAAGAAATGTGTGTGATATACACCATAGTTGCCAGTGCAGTAAACATTTCATTTCAACAATGTATTTGAATAAGTTGTTCAGTTCTACAGTAATTATAAAATCCTTCATTTACACTACAAAGAAGTATTTAATTTTTGTTTATTCTGAATTTTTTCGGATTATCCAAAATATCAGATATGCAGGGTGTCGATTAGCAGGGTCCTACTGTATATGCTTAAAACACACTGAATGGCAAAACAAAAATGAATATAAGTATAGCTCATTGAACTAGATACATATGTAAATCAAGAACCTGCTCCAAGGCAGAGAATAGGGTAGATCATGACCAGAATTCACCAGAGACAAGCTTATTGAATGGACTTTTATGGTAAAGATGCTCAACTTTCAATCACATTCATGAATGAATCCTTAAGCATTAACTCTGAAATTCAAAGTTGACAGTTCCTCTTACACAGAATGCCCAATGAAGAGTTTTTTGTAGTATGTTCAAACAAATATCATTGCAACTGCACGCACACAAAATCTGAAACACCAGAATCTTTTCCACAAAAATTTCATGTTTTAAAAACATGGAGTCATTGGATGAAATGGTAAAAATTGCTCTCCTTTCTTCTCAAGTACACAAATATTTATAATACACATAAGAAAGAAAAACCAAGAAAAAATAAAGATCTGTTATTGTCTTTGCTGATATACATAGGTGTGTTTAGGAAAACAAAATCTTAAAATTATAAATTAGAACAGTTTTATTATTCTGAAGATAACGAATTAACATCTACTTTACAAATAGAAGAAAACTTGCTAATCACCTTCCAAGTTGTGATTAATATTATTTATTGGGTCACACAACAAACCTTTTATTTAATTATGAATTATAAACCGTAAACAAAGTTAGTTTTATTCATTAAACATATTCATGAAATATGAATTCAAATGGAAATGAATGGGGTATTAACAATAAATTAAAACTATATGACTGAGGGATATTTTTCAATTTTATTTTTTACTATTAATCAATGAATTTTCAAGCCAGCAATCTGCTGTTTCTATATTTTCAAATATCTTCAAGTACATAAAGAATGAGAATAACTATAAATACAATTTTGTAATATTTTAATTTGACAAAGAAATTAATGTTAAAATTCAATTTAATGTCATAATTTCAGTATTTAAAGTTGCTAAATGAATTTGTATTAATGAAACTAAAATTAAAAGAAATTAATAAATTTAAAAAACAAAAATACACCATCATTTACAATAAAATATTGTTTTATAAAGTCAGAAAACTTGCAACTGAGGAAAAGCTTTTCTTGAGATAGAAATTCAAAGTTTTTTAATACCATTTCATTTGTTTACAAATTTAAAAAGAAAATTCATAAGTAATTGCTTTGAATACAGTTACATCGATCAGAACACTGGTCATGTTGCAAGCTTCACTGATCGCCAATAAAAAGAATTTAATGCTGAACACAACTTCTTTTTTTTTTAAATGAATCCCAAAACAGGAAACCAACAGAAGAGATTTTGTAATTACATCCATTACTTTGTTCTTTTCTTATGAGTCTTTGAATTATTTTTGCAGTTAGCGACAGGAGGTGGGGGCATCGGAAGAGATTCTTGTGAAGGTACAACAGGTTGCAGGAGTGAGAGAGGCTTTACAGATAGACGAGGCATAAAACTGGGTAATGCTGGTGAAACATGTGGTGCTGAAGTTGTTGGTACTGGCAGGTGTGCTCTTCTAGGCATTGGCCCTTCGAAAGATTTTATTCGGTTGTTAATACGAGTGAGATAGGTTTTGGCTGAATCACTTGCATTTGAGGACAATATCAAATCCCCAGACCGCCAATACTTTTCCAATAGCATCAGATGTCGCATGAAATTTGAGTCAGTTCCATATGGCTTCTGGAGATTCATAAAGTCTTTCTTAGTTTGTTTTGTGAACTTTAATGTTGCATTATAAGTTTCCCAGTCACCCTTACTTTTCCCAGAGCCAGGCTGGTAAGAAGATCTGAAATCAACACCTGGCTGCATATGTAATTGGCCAGAACAATATGTCTCATTGAGAGGGGATAGGACAGATTGCATCTCTGTAGTTGGATTCAGTGTAGTGTTACTAACTTTCATTCGGAATCGAGGAATTTTTAATGGCTGTTTGGAAGAAGTGGAGGCAGGGGAGGAGATGGAAGAAACATGGATAGAGGCTGATAAGTTTTCCTGGCTAGTGTTTGGATGTGCAAGGCTGTTAGATTCAATAGTAGGAGTACTTGCTCCTGCCCTGCCGCAGTCCATTGAAACAATGGAATTGCTACCATTGCCACTTTCAACAACTGCCAGAGGTGGATCATTACTGACAGAATATTCTTCTGACAGTTTTCTCAATTTTCCTTTTTTTATTTTTCCTTCACTCTTAGTTGCAGAAGGAACAAATTTTGTTGTACTTGGTTCATTCTGTGGTGGCATAGATAAACCAGACTTGTCTTCACTGCCTGATACTTTAATTTTGTTCTGTTCCAGTATCCTGTCAAAATCAGAAACATAATTATTACCATGGCTTAAAAAGTGTTGGTTTAGTTGTCAATTAAATACAATTAAATATTTTTCTTTTAAAAATATGCCAATGGTTATAGAAGAAACAAATAAAGTCACAAAAAGGACTATAAAGGGATCATCACTGAGCAATCCAGTAATCAACACTGGGTAATGCAGAGTTTTTTAAACAGTAAACAGGTACTATAATATTTAAAGATGGTGAGAAATAAAACAAAAGTTAATACTAAGCATAAATTAGTCACCCTAAGTTTGCTACATAATTCACATACACAACAGAAATTAGTTTGTTTCTTGCCTGAGTTCACACCATGAGAAAATCATGCTTTCACAATCCACTTCAATTGAAATATTTCTGTCGATTGCTCGTTCGTATGAAGAGTCAAAAACTTAATTTTGTTTTTATAAAAAAAAGGTTAAATATTAAGTATAAACTAATGGAACAGACTTCTGAACATTTGAACATGATTCAGTGATGAATGTCCATACACTGGTTTCTTGTCTCTCATCCAATTTTGCATCTTCAGTAATTAATTTATGCTTTGGTTATAATAGTTGTCAAAAAGGTCAACAGTGTGCATTTTTTGGGCATAAGTTTTAAATACAAAGAAATATGTCATTTAAAGACTATTTTTATTTTTCAGGAGCTTAGTCAGCACTAACTTAATGCAATGTTTTTAAACCTTTCATAATTTAATTTAAATCAATATTAATTATATGTCTACCCCAATGATGAAGTACTTTCTAAAATTTTAGAGATAAAAAAGAATATAAATTAACATGTACTAAGAAAACATTAGGAAATGTTATTAGAAAACTAAAAAAGTTTTACTTACTTCTTGTAATAATTCTCACAAAATAATTTAATTCTAGGATTGAGTGTTTGATGGCATTTATACCCAAGACACAACTGGCCAAAATAATAACACAGCTTACAAACAGATACCATTTCAGGTAGTGAAACTGGTACTGATAAATTGGCAAAGGCCTGGTTGATTTGATGCACTTCAGGACCCAGCAAGTACATGTTACTAAGTGGCAGTTGCTGCTTACACAAACCACACAGCACTAAAAAGTAATGATGTGAGCCCTGGGGAAAAGACTGATACGCAACTCTCTTGTCCATATCAACAGGAACCTGGAAGAAAAATTGAAAATGTTAGCTATGAATTTTTGATAATTGATATGTGACAATTTATATGTTCATAATTTTAGTTGTTCTCATTCTTCAAAACACACAATAAGTTTCGTTAAAATTTTATTTTAAAAGGTCAAAATATTTTTTTAATTTATCATATATTAAGTTCAAATCAAATTTTCAAATGGGATGAAACCGAGATAAAGTGCTAAAATATTTAGAAACACATCCTAAATTTTTCAAAATATTTAAACTATTGAACAACTACTATAATTCATAAAAGCATATTAATTTGAAAAATGAAAACAATAAATTTATTTCTAGATCATTACAAACCATAACTAGTACCAACAATACCATTGGATAAAAATCCATTAATCATCTTCATACTTACAAAAGTCATAAATTATCTTGATACTCAGAAAATGCTTAATTAAAAAGAAGCTAAATTTTGAATGGTTCAGTGCATCTCCTTAAAATATTAAGCATAAAATTGAATTTGGATGTGCCTACATAAATTTCCTTTTGTCTCCTTCATATTTCTAAATGAAGTTTTAAATTAACATAATGAAACAATGGTATGGTATTAACACAACCCTGAATTTCAGTTTATGTCATTTGGATGGAAGTCCAAAAAGAATCAACAAATTGTGTAAATCCTCCTTTCTCCCTATCATTTGTCATTCTAAAAGTTTATGTAACAGACTGTTACATTTTAATTATATTTGATAAACTGTCATCATAATAAATATTTTCTCTCATTTTAATTATTGATTCTTCCTTGTTTTGCTTTAATACACTCATGGTACATCCTGGTTTGTAACAGAAATGCTTAATTGAACAAATAAAGAAGCATATCAGAAAAGTAAACAAAAACAAATGCCTCAAACGTGAATGAAAGTCCTGTAGAATTTGTGGTATAACATAATTGAATTGATTGCTGGAGAGCATCAAAACCAGCAAATTCTTAGCAACAAACATAAGACAGTCACTAAAGATCCAAACAAGTAGATATAAACAGAGAATGTTTTTGAAATTTTCTTTAATTTAATTGAAACATTTAAAGAAGAAATATTGGCTGCCTTTAAAGAATTCTGTTCAAAAGAAAATTTGTGGCCGAGTTATAAGATTATAGTAACGTCCTAAAAACTACTCATGGCTCAAGATCACTTGTGTCATGAAAAATACAGTCAAAGTGTATACATATGTGCAGGAAATGAAAATGCCTGTGACAACATTAAAACGCCATGTTATTGTAAAAGACACAATATCATAATTATTTCGTCCATACGACCCTCGAACTTTATTACAATTTCAAAAGGGAATTTCCAATCGCGAAAATATATTACCAGTAAAGTTTCTTTTCCTCAAGGCCACTAATGAATAATATTTCATTCCTAATAGAAAGTAAAAAATGACGTCATAACTTTTGACGGGAAAGTGTAGGGTGGCATGTTTTTGTATGCACGCTAGGGTTTTCGAGAGAATCGGTGATTTTAGGTTGTATTGTGAGTACGCCTAGGTTTCCGTTTTGCGCCACGTTAGTTATTTACGATGTTTTATTCCCTTTATTTTGGCTCGAGGTTCTGGCAGCGTATCTCTTTCGCATACTTTCGCATAGAAACGCTATTTTCTCGAACAAGGCAGTATCTTTTAGTTTCGAAAAAGATTCAAAGAAAATATTGACATTAACAATAATGCTAAAGTGCAATATGACAATAAAATTAAATATATGGAAGACTTGGGTCCATGTGCCCTTTCATTAAATATGAAGAGATCCGCCGAAACGAATTTCGAGCGCTGTGCTATTTGAGAGAAGGGAGTACCTCCACATTCTTTATAAACTGTCAACTTATTAAGTATCAATGTTAGAACATTTTATTTATTATTATCATTATTAAGAGAAATATTACCTGTAATAATATTTCAGAATCGTTCAGAAAAAATCCTGAATGCTCTTAAATGTCCCAAAAATGTTTGTAATTTTTCAGGGAGTGAGTAAAACGTAAGCACTAACGGAAACAATATTTGAAATTTTTTATATAACGATTTTTTTCAATGTTTTATTTATTACAATTGCAATATATAATTACCGTATTTACCCAAATATAAGACGACTCGAATATAAGACAAATCATGTTTTTACACCTTGAAATTCTGGGAAAAAATACACCCCAATATACGAAAAATAAAAGAAAATATAAGAAAAAAAAATCTATGTAACTTACATGTTTATTAACCTGCATAAATTATTCTGTGCATGTCAATATTTTATACGGTACATGAATTAAACTTCAATTTTACCACATCTACATTCATTTAATAATAATAATAATAATAATAATAATAATAATAATAATAATAATAATAATAATAATAATAATAATATTTATTGAGTCACATATACAATTACAATCGTGTATGACGAGTCAAATATGATATAAATACATCTTGGGAGCAGCATGTGAAGTTACATTTATTTTTATTGTCCAGAAGCAAAACAAGGGGCCATCTCAGCATTTGCTCAAAGGACCAGGGAAACTGGACAAAAAACCTGATCAAGATGGGGTCATTGGCCTAGTGATTATACAATACTTGTTACAGATATATTAAGATATTACATAGAAGATAATTATTTTTATCAGCAATTTGTTGAACATTTGACTTACTTTAATTTAATTTAAAATATTTTAACATTTCAAGGTTTATAAAATTTCATTTTTAGAATATCATTTTCTTGATATAGTGATTTTACTGCAACTACTTATAATAATAATAATAATAATAATAATAATAATAATAATAATAATAATAATAATAATAATAGTATACTAACAGTACATTATAACAATTATGGTAACAGCTACATATGGTTCAACAGTGTTAGTATGTTCCTTGATAGTATCTTGAAATGGGGAGGAGCCAGGTTATGGGCAGATTATTCCCTATTTCTACACCTAGTCCTACTGCAGCACCTGAAATCACATTGCACATGTTAGTCATTGAGGTATTCCTGAATGCTGTAAAAAAGTTGGGGTGGGGCGACCAGGGGTGTGGAGAAAATAGGGGTGTAAGCGACCAGGCTAGAGAACACAAGAGCAAGGGCAGGTGACATAGGCAACACGCACAACGGGCCTGCGTCACAGGGTCGGCGCACATGGCACCTCACGCCTGAGCGTGCACGGCCGCCACGTCGCGAAAATCTGCTAGCACCAGACGGTTGTCCCTCCAGTTTGTGGGATCGATTCTTGACGGATCCCGATGAATTTTTCGGATGCGAAAAATCAAAGTCACGCATGTCTGAATCAAATGGCACGGAATCCCTGGGAACAATTTGGGTTCCTTGGTCTTATTTACTCGAAAGAATAAACATCCAGATTGAGTTCGAGCGATTGCGATACTGTAGTAGCAGCAACTCCGGACGTCGAAATTTGGAAAGAAGGAAAAGAAAACTTCCGTAGGAACACAGAAATCCGAATATAAAGGGACTACGTACAAGGTTGCTGAAGCCACACGATAAATAAATACCAGCCAGTGAGCGAACGGGGGGAGGGGGTGGTCAGTGGGGAACCAAAATTGTTAACAAAGTGACGTAGAATTGTTATTCTGCACCTTTGTTCAATATAATTATTATCTCAGAATATTTTAAATTAATACATTTTACTTTCTCGCATACTATTTACGTAATTTCAAGAAAGTTATGTAATGTAACGGCAAAAAATGGGCAATGTTTCAGCTGGAAAAGTTGGGATTATTAAATCTAAAAATATTAGCATGTATCCCAGTGTCAAAATAACGAAAGCGACAGCGATAGTCCATTTTTTATTCTGTAAATTGTGTAAAATGCGCACATTTAATTCACAGTATCTTCAATTCCTTTCGTAGCATTGTCATCCAAATTTACAGCGCATTATTCTCTATTTCAGATGTGCTGTGCATCGTTGAGTGAAAAATGACGGTTTTCTGGTGCTGCTGAGCTCGGGCAAAAAACGTGTTGGATTATACAAATCCAATGTACACGAAATAAATACAGCGCCGCTGTAATTGCATTTTAAATGGCGTCACACAATGCAGAAATCCTTGTAGTATAACACTTTCGCACAATTGCAAGATCAAACATATCAGAGGTGGCGCCGCCTATAATGAACAACGAAAGTATTCCGATCACAAGTCGTATCTAAAGAAACTGTGAAAACTATAACATGAGGCAATTTGCCGCTGGCGCACCCACTGAAGGGTTAAAGGAACTAAAAACATTAAATAACATCCGAAACGAAGTTACATATTTATCTAATTCCATAGACTTCATGATTCATAAAAAACGGTAGATTTAATTTCCAAAAACTTATTTTAGAATGTTACTCCAACTCTTCACTCGTTAGAACAGGAAACTGAAACTGAAACCAGAATATACATTTAACTGCGATAACTTTTTTGTAACATTGGGGAACACTCGAGATCATTTATCGGGACTTCGATGTTTCACAGAGAATTGAATGGCGTGTTTTACAAACACGTACGAAAATTCATTGCTTGTGGACGCAGAAAGTGCATGATATCAGCCCAGAGGCTTATCCCTACTCAACATCATTTGTTACATTGTTTTAAGGAAGCTCCTCATATTTTTAATTGGATACGAGGTAACCTTCATGGCATGCAATTACCACATTCTAGTAAAAAAGCCTTCATGTTAATTCGTGTATATTAAAATATTGATTTTTCAAGAAGGTTGTCGTTAGCAAAAGCAGCCCAAAATTGCTTGCGGAATGTGTGTGTTTTTTATAACAAATGCTTCCGGACACACGTATACTGGGTTATTACAAATTTTGATGGAATTTTCCAGATTTGCTGTGGCTATGTTATTTAACATAATGTCACAGGGCTTTAGAAACTTACAGAAAAACTCAAAACGTTTTTTACATACAACAAATGCTCCATTTGTATCCCCTCGTGATTCTACAGATATGTGATATGTATAAATGACAGATATTATGTCCATAATAATAAATCCATAAACTTACATTAGCACATACAAATTGATTTTCCTTAATAACAAAAGAATATAAGAAATGAAGAAGTGTTGGATGCCAACAAAATTCATGTAGTGGCAAATTTAGAATGGGCACAAATAATTTATAGATAAGGTACATGGATGAGAGGAAGACAGGGTTAATTGTCGTTATCATTGCAGACGTCCATTGACAAGTGCCAATGAAGATTGCAATGAGCGACATTTGAGAAAGAATTTGCGCTCACATGTAAGAAAAACAATTTGCATCGACAACGAGCTATATATTTGATTTGAAAGTACTGCAGTCGCAGTAACGAAATAACAATTC